GTTGTCATATGCATAGCAAAGAAAAACAATTCAACCTATATTTGGATTTCTAGATGTAGAATTATCACAAATTAATGGCTCAACAGATTTAAGAGATGGTAGAGAGGGAAAGCGCACTCTATTATGAGATAGCTCATTCAAAGGGAAAAATAGGCAAGATAGTGAATTGAATATTTGAGTTATATATGTTGAGAGTAGGCAAGATAGTGAATTGAATATTTGAGTTATATATGTTGAGTATGAAATGTTGATGAGACACTGAAACGGGATGGGAAAATGCAATAAGTTTATGGATCTTCTGATGATGGGGCTGGATGATAGATTTTTGTAGTTTGTATTGAGTAAGTGATGGATGAAATCAGAGCATTGTCTGCTATTGTACTAGAAGAGGGTGATAATAAAAGGATGCCCAAGAATAAAAGCTGTGAACAAGTATTAAAAAATACTTTCAAAGGAGACCAAGAAGGCCTCTATAGAACTAGGAGCAAACCTAAAAGCAAATATTTATAATAATTGAGAGAGAATAGAATTTTAAGAACAAAAGCTGCAGGGTGGCAAAATAAGGAAAGGACTGGGACATGTACTGAGCATTTGGTGATGATAGGACCATTAGTGATAGCAATGAGGTAGAGGAGTTGAAGACAGTTTCTAGCATGATAAGGAAATGAGGAATCTTCATTGAAATATTTCAATCTTCATTGAAATCTTCATTGAAATATCTTGGGTATAGACATGACCCAAAAAAGAGAGATGGGATTATAGGAATGAGGAGGGTTTTTGTTTTGTTTTGTTTTGTTTTGTTTTGTTTTGAGAGACTTGATGTAGATTCAAAAATTAGAAGATGTTACATGCGGAGAAAAATATGGAATCATCGATGATCTGTGACCTAGAGCAAGGTGAAATGATGCAACCTCTGTGCTGGATTACAGGGAAAGAAAAGAGCCCTGTGGGAAGAAAAAGGTCATGAATACCAACAGCTTTTGCTATCACTGATTGCTTAAAATTCTTATTCTTGAAATTCACAGTGACATCTCATACTTTTCATTAACAAACTTTGCCAGCCTAGCAGAATTTACACTGTTGTCTGTAACTGCAAATGCCATTTTAAATGTATCTTAAATAAAGTTTAGACTCCAAAATGGGCAAAAAATAAAAAACTAAGATTATGGAATAAAGATTTTAAAAGTGGTCATATTGCAAATTTATGCTCAAAATTTAAACTAAAGGGTAATGAATATTTTCCACTCTTTTCTCGTTAGTAAATTATATCTTCTGTATTGGTTCCAAGCATCTTACAACAAAAGCAAAAACCGGTTTAATGTGAGAAAATGACTTAGGCTGACATGCCATCTCCTTACCTGTAGTGAGTCACCCTGTGATTATGAAACTTGGGTTTAAAAACAAAATCCATGCATTCAAAAGCTAACCAGATGGTCTGGTCAATGTCTCCTATCTTAATACACTGAGAAATAATAACCAAAGTGTGCTGTGATGTATATCACTTGATATGCCTCGAAGGCTCTGATAGTAGTCTTTTTAAAATTATTTCTATGCAAAATTTTTTGGGGAGAAAGTCAAAGGCAAGAATGTTCTACAAATCTAGAGTCCAAAGTTTTCTATCACCTTTATGTACAAAAGGTAGAAATAAAGATTATTTGTTGTTTTTTACAATTCAATTTATTATGCTTTTATAAAAATTGTATACATTTGAGGTCTACAGTATAATCAACAAAATGATAAAACAATATATTTATCAAGAGAAAATATTTGTGAACGATATATCTGATAAAAAGTTACAAACCAAAACTTATTAAAAACTCACATAAGAACTCATAGAACTAGCAAAATGGTCAAAGGACTTGATAGACATTCTTCCAAAGAAGACATATAATGGCCAGAAGGAAATTTGGCAAATAATAGAAGAGCATTTTAAAGTGGGAATGAATAGCACTCGGATTGGCAGTTGAGGGAAACTGCCAGAAGACGGAGGGGCACACCTCATCAACAAGGGTACCTGGATAATGAACATTTGTATATCTAACCCTGAATTGTAGCCCACATCTTTAAAATAAAAAAATAAAATAAAAAATAAAATGGGAATGAAACATTCAATTGATTCTGTTTCTAGACAGCAAAAACCAACTCCCAAGGACTTCCCAAATATCACTGGGAAATAAAGCTTTACTAACTTGTATAGCATGAGAATTTACCAGTTAGTATGTTTTTCTGCTTCAGTTATAAACCTACTGTCACTGATAGCTATAATCAGGATAGTCTAATCAAGTCTGAAAAGGAAGGATAAAATCTAGGTCAAGCAACTTTTAGCTTCCAAAAGAACTTCAAACTTTCTATTTATTTGATTCATTCTTTCTTTACTTAGTGGAATTATAGATTCTTCTGGTCTGCCCTTGAGAGAGTCTGTTAAGGGACATCACATGTTTTACTTAAACTAGGGTGACTGGAATTAGTTATTGGTCAAGAATCTAATTTATAATTTGCAGGTTCTGTTTTATCAGGAGTTGTATATTGGTGCTGGTCTTCAAGGAACAAATTCACATTAACTGAACTTATAATTTGCAAATAAGAGTTTCAATTTCAGAAACTAATTTATAAATCAGAGTGGTAATTTACTATTTACTATATAAGATATGACAGGCAAGAAGACAGATATTGTTCATAGACCTCAGAGGAAAGGAATGCAAGTTCAACCACTAAATTTAACACTTCTCAATTGACAAGTCAATTCACTTCTCTGTGCTTCACTTTTCTGCTTTGCTAAATGGGGAAAATGACAGAAATTACTTTATGAAACTGTGTAATTATAAAAAAAGTATCTAGAATTAAAAAGTATCTAGAATAGTAGATAGATAAAACATTATGTGTGTCAGGAATTATTAGTGTGTCCCTCCATGAAAACAAATGTTAAGAAAGTTACTTAGTGAGGAAACAAAAAAGTTTTAATAAATGCCATATAGAAGAGATCATTGTGCATTCATGTAATGAAACAGAGAAAGCTAAATTCAAATCATTTACTATATGTGAAACTTTGTTTGCAAATCTACAAAAATAATTAGATTTAATTAAAATGGTACTTTGAGTACTAATTTAGAATTATTGATGCAAAGGACTTGGCACTGTACCGAGCACAGAGGAACTACCTAATAAAAATCAGCTTCCTGTCAAGATAAAACAAGGACATGACTTGCTTTTCTTCATTATAGGTAATTTCTCATGTGTAAAATAGGAAAAATATCTATGTCTAAGGAATTTTTCATTGAGTGAGATGATCTGCCAACTTACTCTAGAATCTGGCACATAGTAAGAGCTCAATAAAAATAGCTATTATTCCTCCTCCTCCTCCTCCCCTCTCTCCCTCCTTCCCTTCTTTCCTACCCTTTCTCCTTGCTTGTCTTCTTTCCCTTCTTATTAATTAGCTACAATTTAATCCTTTTGAGGAGATTGAGGTATCATCTTTATTTCTTCATTAAACACTTGAGAAGCACCCTTAATCTCAAGACCTTTCTACCATTTTACCTGATTGGCTCTATGATTGGGTGTCATGTATCCATCTATCTATCCACATGCCCATGGCTATATTGCAGATTGATAATATTCCTCTTGAAGAATTTATTTAATTTTCTACCTTTGTTGACTAGTGTTAACTTTGACTCAACGGTCATATGTTATCTTGCACACACATTCTAGAGTTGTGTAGACTATTTAAGAAATATAAAAGAAAATGAGCTTCTCAGGAATTTTCTAACACTCTAGTTAAGTTATTAATTACTGACCAAAAGCAGAAATCCATAAAATGTTTTCTGGGCTTCATCCTACTTTTTAACTCGCAGTTAGCCATTAGAATTAAACAGTTTTTAAAAATAACATTTTATAATTATAGAAGTAATACATATTTAAGATAGAAGATATGAATAAAATTAAAAGTATTGATTATATCACATTTATTGATTACTTGTTTATTTCTTTCTCAGCATGTTTTAGACACACATTTTAATAGAATTTGTTTGAAATTGTGTATGAAATTTTAGATACTGATTTTATTCACTTTCCAAAACATTTTGCTACTTCAATTAAAATTTATATTTTTATACATTATATAGATATACATTTTATGTAGCCTTTCCATTATTTTAGGACTCTTAAGTTGTTTCTAAATTTTGCTATTATAAGTAATGTTGCAATAAATATCTGCATATAAAATCACTGTCCACATTTTCATATTTTACAAAAATTTACTAAAAGTAGAACTAATTTAGGAGAAGTTTTGAAAACTGTATAATTGAGTAAGAGAAAGAACACAAAGATTAAACCCTAATGAAAGATATTTACCCTGTTATGATAAAGTTCAAAGCTGTCCTCCGGGAAATTCCCCACAGTAGATAAAACAGTATAGGAGGCTGTCTTGGGTCAAGAAATTTAATACTCTAAAACATGTATGCTGTTTCTTGGCTCCGGGTTGAACCACAGTTTTTATTTAAGGTAGGAAATGATTTCCTTTGTCTGTAACAGTGAAGAATATTTAATGCTGAAAGTAATATAATAAAATGTGTTTTGATGGAGAATTTTCTTATGCCCACATAAATAACACAGAACAGACGATGCAGAACAGTGAGTTCCAAGGAGGATTCTGATGGTGATTCTAGGTGAAAAGAATAACTGCATTTTAAATATTTCTTTCAATCAGAAGGCTCTGGCCTTATCATAAATTAAAAGCAGTTCCTTTATGTACCGTTTCATGGCTGAAAACTATTTTCGTATTTCTTTCACCTAAGCTGTAGTAACTAAGGTTGAAAACTGAATAAACTATTGTAATCGTAGAAGCATATCAGAATCTACATAAGAATTAATCTGAGAAATTAGTCTCAGTGAAGTAAAAGTTGCGGTCTTGAAATGTATCTGCAATGGCAATACCGTGTTTACTTGCTTTGGTTTGCCTATTATTTATTTTGCTATTTCAATTTTTATCTTTTATACTTATTTAGTGTCCAGATGCATCATGCAAACAGGACTTGTTGGCCTACCTGGAACAAATTAAGTTCTACTCCCACCAACTGAAAATCTGCAGTCAAGTTAAAGCTGAGATCCAGAACCTAGGAGGAGAGCTCATCATGTCAGCTGTGAGTACTGTCCAGCACTTTCACCACCACAGGTGGAAGCTTAAACTAGAGTAACTACACCTCTGCTTACACCACCAAATCTTTTAGATGAATTCAGTTTAGGGTAAACCCAACTGGATTTCATAAAAATACATGTAATTAAACGTATAAGAAATTTGCCACCAGATTTCTTAAAGAAGTATTAAGTAGGTACAACTTGTTTTTATTTACTTCAAAGATTAGAGAATAAATCAGGTCTTGTATAAGAAATTAATGTTTGGATCACAGCTTTCAGACTTCAGAAAGCATACAGATGAAAACCTAAAATAAATCCCACAATTTTTCTAAAATAAATACATGTGGAATAGCAAATTATTACAATGATTGGTATATCATTACTGATTAATATTAATTTCCCAGTTATCTTGATTTTTAAAAATCTTCACTTATACTTTTAGAAGGAGAGTATGGCAGGACCTTATAAATAAGAAATCTTTATAAATCTGTGGTGGCCCTGCATTTCAAGCTGCTGTAAAATTACTATGGTAGAACTAATGTCTAACTTTTCTACTCATCTTTTAATAGCAGTAGATCATTTTTCTAGAGAATATATGGCAATAAAATAATATTTGATATCTATATTGGACTTAGTTATCAATGACTTTGAGAAGGACATAGACCGAGATTATAAATTTAAGTTTAAATGAAACACTATGAACATTCTGGAAATTTATATTCCTGAGGAAAAATGTTTTAAATTACACTAGTATACTTTATAAATTTACAACATCTAGGGCTTCTATATCTTGGCGTTGGACTTTACCTCAGTGAATTAATGTTCTGAAAGAGGACATAGTTGCAACAACACAAGCAAAAGATCACGATCAAGATTAGAAGGAAACAAAAATTCTTACGGACAACTGTCACTTGCCTATATTTGATTTCAATTTTCAAAATTACATACCAGATGGATCACTTATTTTTTTGCTTTGTTTTCTTTCATATATAAAAAAATAAAATGAAGAGGAGTTGAATAACTTTTCTAAGGTCAGACTAGTAAATGTCAGAGCTGGGGTTTACCTTTAAAAGTCTATGCTTTCTCTGTTTAGGCAGACAGCCTTGGCTCTATGATAAAACTGAAGAACCTAAGTCAAAAGTGAATAATTTGAAAATTATGTGATGGGAGTGCTTTCTTTTCCAGTAATTGTCAGAGGAAAAACAATTAGATTTAGTTTCTTTGATACTCAAATTTTACAAAAACGAACACATGAACACAACCTGTACAATACTGGTACCCTGCCACTTTTCACAGAAAAATGTATTTTAAGTAGTCACAAGCCATACAAATAGAAATATATGTGTGTGCTTAGAAAAATATGCATATGGGGGTTTCAGATATTTATAACATTTTAAGTATGGTGTTCACTCAAAAGGTGGCATTAATCAAATGAATGCTAGTGTCATCATATGACAGGCAAGACAGTCAAAGACAATGGCAGAAGCATAGTTGAGTTAATGTCATACTGCACATTGCTACCCTAATTCAATTAAACTTCAAAAAGTAATACATAGATAACAGCTGTCTTCAAATGTGTACACATATTTTTGGCACCCCCGTGTATATATACACATGTATGTATATATTCTTAAACTATTGTGTGTTTATTTTAGATTATTAAACATCCATTCTTATTTTTCTCATTTACAGTTATACTAATTTAAATAAGTAAAAAATATTAATTGGAGGCCAAACTCTGCTGTCTACTTTTCTCAATTTTACACATTCACCATCCTTTATAAGATCTAAATTTATATAAATTTTATTTTTCAAATAAGCTTTCTCATGTTGTCTGAAGCTAAGCTTTAAAAAAATTTTCGATAGAAGTCCAACTTCTACATGACTGTGAAAATATATTACTGTTAATTGCTCCTCTAAAATATAATTTCCTCCAGATCTATAAATTGAGTTGGTATTCTTTTGATGATTCAAATTTATAAGCTTTACATATTTTACAGAAAGATTAGGCAAGAGCTATTCAGAATTCACAATTTACAATTTAAAATCTTAGTCATTTATATAAAATGAGAACTAACACTGCAAATCCAAAGTATTAGTCATCATGTCACCCATAATTTTTCATTAGAAACAAGAAATCTGAAAGGAAAAGCCCATGCCCCCTTTTACATGCCTTACTGCCATCTGTTTGCAGGTAGATCCTAGAAAGCTTTTTAAATGCATTTTTGCATGTGCCAAAGCACAGCTTATTCTCTCAGTGACCCTTACTGACCCTTGTCTTGTTCTTCTTTCTTCTTTAAACTGAGAAGATCTAACCTAAGTTATCATTTTTCCATGAGGACACTTACATAGTAACAAGCATGATTCTAAAGCAGGGAAACTCATTAAAAATTACAGTAATTTGGTATTCAAAACTACAGAGTATTCAAAGTTCACAAAATACAGGTTACATTTTAAGATCAGTTTTATGAAACTTTGCTTTTGGCAAACGCAGTTAATTAAAAAGAAGTCGATATGACTAAGGCATTTCTGAAGTGAATGGGCAGTGTTCTATGGGTCTGGGGTATTACAGTTTAGGATAAAGAAGATAAATGAGTAGCATAAAAGAATCAGAAAGATGTTCTCATCTTATACCATTTAATTAATTTCCCCCCACCACTGTTACATTTTTGCTGGAAGCACTTATTCTGAAGTTGTCTGTTTTACTTGGAAACCAAAGTGCATGTCAACTCCACCACTATGAATTGAACCCCTTTCTTTTCCAAGCATAGTAGAACATTTGGGGGATAAAAAGATGATGATGTAGCAACTGCCCTAAGATTCTCAAGTATATACAAAATTAACTCCAGTCAGAAAAATGTAATAAATATGCAATAGTGGTATGCACAAATGTACGTAGTTTAACAGATGAGACTAGAGTTAATTCCTCCAATGCACAGAACAGACAAAAGGAAGCTCCCTAATGGCTTGACCCTAACTTGGGCCTGGATAAATAAGTAGAAAGCAAATGGTACTTGTAAGAGAAGGGGAGGAAAATACTTTAGGTAGATAGAACAACTGAAATAAAAATACAGAACTAGGGGAGACATGGAATGCTATGGAAATGGCAAGCAATCAGATGTGACTGAAAACAATTGTACATGGTTAATATGTGTACTGTGGAGTGGGGGTGGGGCAGAAGTTGCAAAGGAAACTAGAAGTATTTAAAAAAACACTTATAATATTTTAACTTTATGCTATAGACAATTAAGAGCAATTGAGCATTTTTCAGCCTGAGAATGGCATAAACAGATATATGGATTTGGAAGTTAACTCTTTTTGACAGGGCAGGAATAGATTGGAAAGAGTAGAGACTGGAGAATAGAGACCTTTTCAGGAATTATTATTGTTATTTTTAAATATCCAAGAGAGAAACAAGGAGAGCCTGTTCTAAGGCAATGTTGATGAGAATGGAAAGGAGTGTATCCATATAAGAAACAATTCTGGAAATAGTGTTTAGGGTTAAAGATCTATTGGATGTTAAAGGTGAAGAAGAAATAATTAAGATTTGCCCAAAGATTTGGAGTTTAGACAGTTTATTTAGTCAACAATTATATCATCAACTAAACACTATGTACAGAAGGAATAAGATTATGAAGAATAGGAAAACTCATTCAGGTTTTGCATGTTGAATTTAAGTAATTAAGGGGCATCCAAAGAGAAAGGTTCAGGGCAAGTTGGGTATATGCTTCTGGAACTTAGGAAAGATGTATTAAAAATAGATGGGACCATCCAGTGAAAAAATGTTGGATAAGATTTTAAAAATAGCTGAGACAGAGATACAGAAACAACTTTTTTCTGCAAAGTGATTCCAATGTACCTTTATCAGATACAAAAATGATTTTGGCAGTTAAGACAAATTGGGAGTTTACTATCTTCATAAAGAGAGTCTGAGAATGGGCACTCTAGGACTATTATGGCGGCTTCACAAAGTCATCAGGAAATTAGGCACTTTTGTCTTTCAGCTTCATTATTTTTGACTTCTGGCTTTCATTATTATCAAGGTCAAAAATATGGCTTTTCTAGGTCTAGTTAGAATGACTTTATAGTTCAGGCAGTAAGAACAAAGAGAAACAGAAGCAAACATTTCTTAGATCTTTTTAAGAGACCTTGCAGAAAGTCCTTTGTAAATGCATTTCTTACATATTATTGGCCAGAACTTAGTCATAGGTATGCAGCAAAATAAAGATTTGTTTGTGTTTCCATCTGGCACATTGCTTTCTCCAGTGTAATCAGAGTTTAGTTTCTACAAAAAGGCAAATGGATATGGGGCGGTAGCTGACAATTTCTATCATATCTCCTCTGTGAATATCAAAATCGCAGCAATATTCACATATATAGTAACTATCTTTTTATACATATTCCCCTCTAGACAATAAAGCTTTCAAATATTTTTGAATGATTGAAGGTGCAGATGCAACCTCAAAATAATGCAGGTTGACTGAGTATTAAAAGTACATATTGGCTTTTGCACTTAGAAGGTATTTTCGTATCTTTTCCAAAACAGTGTTAGTAATATGGTAAAGGCAAAAGTCATACAATAGTCGGAGTACTGACCGTGTAGTGACAGAGAAAAGATGGTAGCACAAACTGAATTTTCCAGTAATTTTAAGTTGACAGGAATGAGAAAAAGCAAGAAAGAGACAAACAGAGAAGAGAAAGAGAGAGAGAGACTGAGACTTTGAGGTCAGAGTAGACCACATTGCTGAAAACCTTTTTTTAAAAAATTTTAAATTTATATACTTTTTAAGATGGCAGTAATTGATGTTTAAGTAAAAACAAAACAAACAAGAAGCAGCCAGAAAAGAATGAATCTGTGAAAAATTAAGACTACACCTAATGAAATAAAGTCTGAAGCAGGTAAGAAGAAATGGCATTAGGAGAGCACATAGAAAGATTAAATTTGGGGGATGGGGAAATGAGCTCCTTTTCTGAGCTAGGGTAAAGTTGAATTAAGGTATAATCA